TAAGGGCGTGCGACATCGCATTTTAAAAATGTGAGATTGATGTGTGTTTATACGGTTACAAATGGTATCAGAGCTAATCATTGGATGGTGGGCCAACCGAGACGTAGGCCCCCAAGCGGAAGGGCTTAGGGGTAAATTGGTAATTTGATCGAGTATTTAACAAAATTAGATCAAATAAAATAATTTTTTTCTTTAAAAAAAATGTATTTTTAATTTTTGTTAAGGATTTTAATTACGGTTTTATGTTGGTTGAAACAACTTTCTATGTATTTTAATTTAAATCACTTTTTTATTCCATTATAAACGGATTTTTAAGGTAAAAAATAACTATAAGTTGGTAGTTTACTGAAGCTTCAAACCTCGAGAACAGCATTTTAATCTGCTGGAAAGTGAGCGTGAGATAGACTGTTGTTAGGGAGCCTCGATATCAATTGTTCCAGAATACCCTTATTAGCAATATTAGCGTTATCATGAGCGGAAAATAATAATATATTAACCCGTTATAAAAATAATAATCAATTTTTATGGGTTTAAATCTAAAATAAATAACATCTCATTATTCTAAATTAAAATACTTAATATATTGTGTTTTTGTGTTTTTTAATTAATTAAATTAATGATTATTTTATTTCATTGCTTAACAATATTGTATTTAACCAATAAATTTATACTTATTCCCTATTAGCCCTAATATTAACGAAAATTGCAAGAAATACCCATAAGCCCAGACCCAATTCCTTTATTGGGCCTGATCAAATTAATGGGCCTTTGTTATCTGGGCTTCAATTCATTTACACTAGGCCCAATATTTGGAATTTCGATTTGTTTTCTTTTTTTAAATTAAAAATTTCACAATTTTAAATATTATTTGATTATTAAATTTTATAATTTTATAATTATTTTTTTAACCAAAAAAGGTTTAGGTATTTTTTTTAAAATTAATATATTTAAAAAATGACAAATAAAGTGATAATTTTAGTATAAATAAGCATTTTAATCAAAATTACATAATTTTACATAATTATCATATCAATTTTTTATGGATATTTCTTGAATAAAAAATAAATGTAGAAAATTACCCAATTTATTTTAATATGGAACAAATTTTTAAAAAATTTTATTTAAAATTACCCATTTTAACCAAATTTTTTATGATTATAAATAAGCATTTCAAAAAAAAATTATTCCTAAAAAAAATTACCCACTTTATTTTTAATATGGAACAAAAAAACGTGAGGAAAAATAAATGATTTAAAAAGAAAATAAAAAAATAAATGTCAAATGTGTGGTGAGGTGGGGTGAGGTGGCAGTGGGAACCTTATCCAAAACCAGATTTAGGCGTAGAAGGGCGGCCGAGGGCGTGGCCAATTGGAGTACACGTGTCGATGTTAAAATTTGCCACGTAACTCTTGTTCCAACTCGGCAATCTGCCGTGTCGTGTGTTGTTTAGGACGGCTAGGAGCAAGGGCCCCACCTCTTTTGTCGTCATTATCCACTTAACAATCATTTAACATCATTGTCACCTACCAAATAATATTAATACTAATTAGAAAAAAATAAAACACAAAGAAAATAAAATATACGATTTTAAGAATAATAATAATAATAAAAAATAAAAACACAAATTCACCTTTGCCACCTAAGGGTACGGGGTTGACCTATGTAGGGCGACTAGGTCGTGTGCGAGCTGACCCAGTAGCAGAGATTGTCTCGTGTAGGTTAGCCAAGACCTAACGTGAGCTGACCTAGGAGGATCATTAAGGTCAAGTCGATATGAGAGGCTGTACTCTCGACTCTAAACAATACATTTTCTACTATGTTAGACTCCGTAGTAGACAATTGTTGCAGGTGAAAATGTTATATGAAGTGGGTAAGTTAAGCTTGCAAGCCCTACCACCACGAACGTTCCACAGTGTTGAGGCTAACCACATGGGAGTTGACCGAGACTCCACTGAACCTTGAGACAAACCTCCCATGGAGATCGGGCGAAGGTAGTATGATTGATTCACGATGGACAATTGATGGTTGGTCTCGATGTGGTCAACTAAGACCTATTTGAGAACAATTTGATCAATTAAAAGTCCAACCATGTAATTTTATTTTATGTGTCGTGAAAATAATTGCACGGTGATAACGCTTCGTTAGGATTCATTAAATTTAATTTTTAATAAAATTTTCTAATTCAACTAAAAACTTACCTATTTATTTCTTTTTTAAAAAATATTAACTAATTAAAAATTATATTATAATTAACATAATATTGAGTTGACATTATTATCGCATTATATTGAAAATAATATTACTTAATAAATATTTATCGTAAGAGAAATTAGAAGGTGCGGACATATGATTGCATACAGACGGTTACCGACATTAAAATTAAAGTATCAAATAATCTACACCAAACGTGGCCAATTCCAGATCGGCGTTAGCTGGCTCTACCGGTAGCCCGTACAAATGGGGCAAACTCGGTTCTTCACCCTTTTAAATTAAATAACTAATTACCTTTTTCCTCTATATATATATATATATAATTTGTGACTAATAGAATTATTCCATTTTTTTTATTCGGATTTAGTTAACAATAATATTCATTTTTATATTTAATCACTTGAAAAAAGTATGAATTATTTTTTAAATTTCAAATAAATTTTTTATTTTTTATTTTTATATCTATAATTTTAATTTTGTGTCAAATAAATATTAAAAATATTTATTTTTATGTTTAATAATATTTTAAATTTGTAAATATGTGAATTTCACCCATTTAAAATTAAATAAACTTAAATTTGGTTAAGACTAAATTTATAATTTAAAAATAAAAAAGTTGGAAGTTGTAATTTGGGTAAAATATGTATTTTATTTGAGAAAAAAACGTTGGGCGGTGGAGGGATAAAGTATTAACGAATAACTTTTTACTTTTTTAAAATAAAAGGTGAGGAATTAAATGACTATTAAAGTTCAAACCACCTTTTAAATTGTTTAATTTTAAATTTAAATCTTTTATAAATAACAATTACGAATATATATATATATATATATAATATTTACCATACGGTGAAAAAAAAATCAATAACTGATCATATTTGTCGTTGTATAATTTTAGTTGGACGACTGGAAGTAGTGATGTCGGTTTGTACAATCAAATGATGTATGCATAGACTTAACACGCCAATGCAATACTTGTATAAAACATTTTGCATGTCAAAAGTCTGCTCGCTCAAGTATGAGCTAGTAGGGTACAACAATAGTAAGAGACGAAGAACCGAACTTTCGTTATTTAAAATGTCAATTGCTGTATTATCTATCAAGTTATACTCGTTCTGGTAGTTAAGTAAATAACCCAGGTTACTCTGTATCTAAGATGTATTTGAAATAATACATACTCTGCACCTAAGATATATTTGAAATAATACATAGCGGTTACATTCGATCGTAGTTGACCTAATAAGATGACAAACCGATGCATTGATATCAGCACGAAAAGAAGTTCCACAAATGACGATCGTGGTTAGAATCAGTAGGGTTGCAGAAACCGAGGAGCGGTTGGATTAGCAAATGGGCAACATGCCACAAAGTCAAAGTCAAAGAATCCATCCCATAACAGTATCCATGAAAAGGGTAGACTTCATTGAAAATGGGAAAAGATGATAGGTTGTTATGAGAATTATAACGTTACCTTATTTAAAATGATACATTCATAGGACTCCAAAAAATTATTCATTTTAATTTATTTGGTATTTATGAATATTTATTTATTTTTTTGTCAAATAAAAAGAATGCCCAGTGGAATTCTTCCACGTCATGAACAACAAATATATTTTTTTAATAAATTAAATGAGCTGTGAGATCAGATCCATCGATATTCAAAGTATGTGCATCGAGACTCGAAATATAAATTATTTAAATAATATAATAAATAAATAAATAAATTAATTAATTTTCCAGCTTCACATCCTTCCAAAACACAGAAACGACCGGAAATAAAGGAAGAGAAAGTCTTCAAACTTTAATAAAAAGTAACAATATTTAATTCACGTTTTTTTTTTTTTTTTGAAAATTAATTTTTAAATTTTACTATGTAAAAATTTAAGCTTTAAAAATATTTAGCTACTCCCATAAATAATATTATTAAAAATTTAATGTAGATATCAAACCCGGGTCAATCTTTCTGACCGTGCAAGGGTTGGATTTAGAATAGCGAAACTAATCACTATCTCGTAGAGTATTGAATGGATATGTCCATGCCATCCGAGGGTCTTCCTCAAATGGCACAAAGAATTTCTCCTCATCTACAAAACGAGACTTGTTTTGTTTTATAAAGAAAACAATGTTGAACATGCATTATATGTTTTATATAAAACATAGTCTAATGAAAATTATCCAATTATTTGAAATTAATATATTTTTCAAAAAATATAGTTAAAGATATAAAAAGTGGAACATGATTCTCGAAAAAATAAATAGAGAATTTTGTAGAGATAAATATTGAAATAGGAAGGGGTGATGGGGATGAGGAAAGCTTCCTCATCCATGGTTTGCCCAAGAATGTAATAACGAAAGTGCCACTTTCGACGACCTGTCTAGAAGAGTCACTTACTTCATAATATTATCATATTAGACAAGCACGTCCCCCACCTAGGTCGGGAGAATCAAAGTTCTTTGATGTTCAACCGTTTATCCAATTGAGTGCAAAAAACACAGTAAAATCACATGAGGTGCCTACGAGAAACGAAAGAAGAGTGATAAAGTTGAGTTAGATTCGACTATTTGTAGCAAGGGAGCGAATTGCATTTACCTATGCTTTATTAAAACTCAAATGAAAAAAAAAATAATAATAATAATAAATACAAATTTATATTTATAATAGTTGTAAAAGAAGAGACAATTTTTTATAGAATCAAACAAAGTGTAGAAGAGCAAAGAATGAAGCCGACAGAGTAAAATCCAATTTGGAAAGAAACCCAATTATACCAAACAACGTGTTGATTTCAAATTCTCTCTTTTTTTTCTCTTTAAACCCAAATTCCCATATTTTCTCAATATCCAATCCATTGTTTCTCTCCGTGCGAAGTGCTATATATTCAAATTTATAAACCCACAATTTCCCCAATCCTTCCATGTGCAGTCTCCAAGAAACTGATTCATTTCAGTAAAAAAGAATAGAAAAAACTCCATTAAATCCTCTCTCTGTTTCTCTGTTTCTTCCTCTCTCTCTGTTTTATGGTTGTTATGTTTCACGACAGTCGGTGGACGACCATGACTCAGTCTTCGACTCAGTGGACTCGGTCGGAGGACAAGCTTTTCGAGGAGGCTTTGGTGGTGGTACCGGCGGACTTGCCTGATCGGTGGCAAAGGGTCGCCGACCTTGTGCCTGGAAAGTTGCCGAGGGAGGTTAAAGATCACTATGAGGCTCTGGTTTATGACGTCCTGGAAATTGACTCTGGTCGAGTTGAGTTGCCGAGTTATTCTGATGAATCGGCGGTGGGTTCGCCGGAATGGGACTCTTCTGGACAGATCTCTTTTGGATCCAAGGCTAAGCCTGGTGGGGACAGCGAGAGGAAGAAGGGGACGCCATGGACCGAAGAAGAACATAGGTATCTTTTTTTTCTTTTTTTTTTTTTTCCCTCTCTTAATCCTATTTAGTCCTCTGTTTTTCTGTTTGGCTGCTGAGAAAATGGTGGAAAAGGGAAAGGAAAGTGGCGAGAAAATTTTCGTGTCTGTTGGGTTTTGTGTGTCTTAATTCCTGTTCTATCTTCCAAATTGGGAATTCCAGAAACAGAGAACCAACCCAGTTTCTGATTTAGAAGTGCTTTTTCTTGTATAAAGCTTTAACTAAGATGGTTATCTAAGAAATGGAAGCTCTCAAGGATACTATGGCTTATATGGAATGACAAATCTTTACAAGTTGTAAGCCATTTGGGCTCTCTATTGGAAGAACAAGACTTTCCCATGAACAAGAACCAGGTGGCTGTCTGGGAATTTCTAGTCATTAACAAGGAAAACCATCTGTCAGAACTGTGTACTTTCGAGTATATAAGAGCCCTAGCCCACCGTTAGCAGATATTGTTCTCCTTTGGCTTTTCCTTGCGAGTTCTTCCTCAAGGTTTTTAAAACATGTCTGCTATGAGAGGTTTCCACACCCTTATAACATATAACGAATGTTTCGTTCTACTCCCCAACCAATGTAGGGTCTCACAGTCCACGCCTTCGGGGAGAGGCTCGAACTTTAGACCTCAGGATCACTCTATAAGCTACGAGACCTACGCGCTAATCAACTACGCCACCTATGAAAACCTCTCCCTAGTAGACACGTTTTAAAAACTTTAAGGAGAAGTTTAAAGAGGACAATATTTACTCACGGGCTTGGGCTATTAAGTTGGGTTTGATAACCATATGACTTTTTTATATTTGTACTTGTTTTTTTCATCATGCTTGGTTTTCAAAACCCAAATAGTTATCCAACAAAGCCTTTATTTTCTTGACCGAGAACATGACGCTTGGGACTATTGATCTGTCATAAGTATTCTAAGCTAGCTTTTTCAACAACCAGTTAAGCTTGTGACATTGACATTCAAAAACTTTATTAGGTAGCTAGATGACAAGTGGGTTCACGATTTGCCTCTTTAACCAATGAGCTGACTCATCTTGGCCATGTTTGGGCTAATGGCTGAGAAGAATGTTGCTGTCTATTTGCATATTGCTTTGTTAACAACTTATTATTGATATTAGCTTCAATATCAAGTTTTTGAGCATTGGCCTAAAAGCTAAATCCAATAGTTGCTCTAGTTTCAACTTTTGCCCCCTATGTTTCGAGATCTGTTGCTGCGATTGGTTCATATATGTACGTAAAATCAGAGTTCTTTACTTTCTAAGTATTCTTATGGCTGTGTTTTTAGAAGTGTAATGTAGAAGCTTGAATTTCGGAGACCAATGGGAGAAACGAAGCAGCAAGTATCAAACGATGTTCATGTTACTCTAGGCCTTTTTCGCTCTTTGGTTAGTCTTCTGATGCAAAGTTATGTTTGGCATTATGACAGGCTATTCCTCCTTGGACTGAAAAAATTCGGTAAGGGTGATTGGAGGAGCATCTCAAGGAACGTAGTGATCACAAGAACGCCAACTCAAGTAGCTAGCCATGCTCAGAAATACTTTCTCCGACAAAACTCCGGGAAGAAAGAAAGGAAACGATCAAGCATTCACGACATCACTACAGTTGACAACAACTCCGCCCCTATACCTTTCGACCCGAATTGGATATCCCCAGTCCCCAACCCAACCATTCAATCAAGTATGCAGCAGCAGCTAAGCCCCACAGGTCATTTGCAAGACCAAGGAGGTGCACTCCAAACTTACAGGTTCCCAATGTAGGGACCGACACAATATGGATAGAAACTACTTAAACATTATTGCAATGTAAATACACCGACGAATGTGTAAAGGCGTTGGAACGTACCTGGGGAGGTTTGTTGTTTTGGTTGCCACAGTTTAGGGGAAGCTGATGATATGGAACTTTGAACAGTAGTAGGATCCTGTTTATAAGTAAAATAGAAGAAAGCAAAAGGATTAGCAATGTTAGTTACTTAGTTAATGTAAAAGAAACAAGAAAGGTGTGGGGTTAGGAAAGGAAAACACAGGATATGAATGGAAAATTCTTTTGTTGGATTGTGAGTATTCCTGCAATCAAATTTTGGTGCAGGATGCTTTACTTTCATTCATGAGATGACTGTTTTATAAACATTATTCAGCAGACGACATCGTTTTAAGTCATTACTAAGTTGTTTTTATCTAAGAAATGTATTCTAATTTTTTAAAAATAAATAAATAATATATATATATATATTATATAAACAGGAACTATTTTTATAATTTGGTTGTTTTGGTCAGAAAAGGAGGAGCCTTTGATTGGGCCGCCGGTTTGGAGTTTCTAGAATCCCAACATGTCATGCCTATCCAACTATTGGAGGATACTACCCTAAAATGGCTAAATATTAAAAAAAATATACATTTCCATTAAATTTTATTTCAAATTATTGAAGTTTTAAGTTTTAAAATTACCTTATCACCCTTCATCATTCTTTAACGATCAGGATATTTTTTAAATATAATAGAGAATATTTCATAATTTTTTGAAAATTTATAAGTATCAATTAGAAAAAACTCAAAATTTATAAATACATCCTATAATTTAGCCCCCACAAAAAATAGAACTTATTTAAAATTAGTTCTAGAAGATATGTTTACATTTAAATGCAACATCCAAAAGAAAGCATTAAAATGTAATTCCATAAATATAAATTCTAAAAATTAAAGTTACATATGCATGTATTTTCCAGAACGGCTATCATATCAAACAGCCGTGAAGCATTGAATAACATTATTATATTATATCATATCACTCCAACAAAATTACATTAAAAAGGCACCAGTTCTCAAATTTGTCCACTCGCAAATGCCTAAGACGTTTTAGAGCCCAATTATTGATTAGGTGCACAATCCTGATCACACAATGATATAGCCAACCAACCTAATTTGAAAACATCAGCCCAATGAAAATGAACCAAAAGAACCTGTTCCTCTTAGTTAATCCCATGATTAGTCTATTAGATTAGAAGTTCAATCAAGTTTGTAGGTTAGTTAACCAACCCTGAATTCTCCAAACCATAAGGACCAAGTTTGTAGGTTAGTTAACCAACCCTAATTTCTCTCTATCTACTGGTTTCTTACTCGTGTTCAACACTTCGTACTATTCTAATAGAACAACCACCCAATTTTCATTCTACCCTCCAAGACAAACTTAAGTCTAGAGTCTATTTGAAATGACTTTTCAAGTAGAGCCCGATCAGTCCTAAGAACTAAACAAAACAAATATCTACTGTTCATGATTTCTGCTTCAAACTAAAGCTGGGGGGG